TGAATTAGCAACAAGAGTTTACGGGATGTACATAGCTCAGTGGTTAATGCTTCTGACTTTGAACATCGAATTCGCAGGTTCGATCCCTGCTGAAGTCTAGAAAAAGAAGTCTGATGAGGAGATGTGGTGATCTCCGAAATAGTGTTATAACTTCTACCGCTTAGACTTTGTTGCTTTTTCAATTTTTCCTAATAAACAATCGTGGTACAAAGCTCAATAAAAATATTAAAAATAAAATGTTAACAAGCCACAATAACATTGACAAAAAAAAAATAAAATAAAAATAAACAAGTTGAATAACTAAATACTAAATAAATTTAAATTAAATAAATAAATACAAATAAAAATGAAATAAAATCAAACCGAATAAAATAAAATAAATAAATAATCATGATCAAATGAGCTTAAATTAAAATTAATAAATTAAAATAAAATAAAATGAAATAATAATATAAAATAAATAAATAAATATTATATAATGAGCTTAAGTTAAGTTCCATAAAATAAAATAAACAAATAAATGAAGAACTTTGATAAAATATAATCAAAGAAAATCAAATAGAATAAAATAAAATAAAAGTAAATGTAATAAGAATAAAGTGAAACAAGTAAATAAATAAATTCATTAACAAACAAAAAATAAGTAAATGAAAAAAAGGCAAGCATGTAAATAAATAACTAAAAAACTTAAAAGATAAATGGAATGAAACAAAAATAGAAGAGGATTTAATAGAAATTCAATAAAAAGAACTGATTCGAAATAAAATAAGACTGAATTAAAATAGAATAAAAAGAATGCATGAAATTAAATTAAAATAATTTGATGAAGTTATAGTGATGTGAAAAGTAATAGGGACGCGATATTCTGACCGCCTTTGACTGGTTTCTTTTTTTTTGTTTAATGTTTATTATTTCTTTTTAAAATGAATTATCTAACAAAAACTAAATTCAAAACTTTTTAGAAAAATGCAACAAAATTTGACAACAAAGTATTTAGTCAAATTTTTTAGAAAAAATCGAAGTATGTGGTTTTATAGCCCATTAAATTCAAGATCAGATTAAAAAGAAATAATAAACATTAAACAAAGAAAGAAATCAAGAAATTAGTCAAAAGTGGTCGAAATGTCGCGTCCCTATTTCTTTTCACATCATTATAACTCCATCAAATTATTTTAATTTAATTTAATGGATTCCTTTTTTGGGTAGAATTTAATGAAATTAAATAAAACAAGAATGTGAAAAATAATTTATATAAATATTTATTTATGCATATACAGTGGTGGAAGAAATAATAGAAACTTTTTATTTTGACCAGTTTTTACTATATTACTTTTGTTTATTTTATGGACCCTCATATTCTTATTTGATGTTTAATATTTTTTATAAAAGTCTACCGCATTATATAACGCACACCATATAAACCCACATTTCAAACGTTGTACAAAAATTTTAAAAATTCAACCAATTTTACCGAAATACCCCAAAAATTTCGAACTTTTTATTCAGAGTTTAAAAAAAAATTCGGTTACACAGTTTTATAACTCATTCAATTTTAGTAGGTCAAAGTGCAAATTTCAGAACGCTAGAAAACCGCGTTGATTTTTAATAATTTTGTGGGCTGCCGGTGTTGTTTCTTTTCTTCCATATAAAATATGTTCGACCATGCTCAAAGTTTCTTTTAATATGGAAGAAAATGCCTAACAGCGTCAGCTAAAAAAAAATATTAAAAATCAATGCGATTTTCTAGCTTTCTGACATTTGCAATTATTCAAGTAATTCATCCTAAATGTTGTATTACTTTCAATGTGTGCAAATTAATGTAAAATTCTTGTCAATATTTAATGTGAGTTTCAAGTGATATTATGTGTGTAGATAATAAGTGTTAAGTATACATGTACATATGTAACTATTGTTTTGTATATATGTATGTATGTATGCAACTATTATTATGTTTTTGTTAATCATGGTTTTCGTTCGTTCTTCATGTTTATTGTTTATCGTTCAAATAAAACAGACTCCCTGAAGATGACACGAGAGTGTCGAAACGCGTAGGAGGGACAAGGGAAAAATATAAGCATTTCGCCTTTTACTCCATCGTCCGAAGCAGCTCCAACCCAGCAAACAAAATTCATTGGAATTTGGCCCATACAAATATAAAAATTTATTTATTTATCGCTGTCAACTGTCAGTTTTGGTTCTAGTTAGCAGTTAACTGGCAGCCGAAGCTCCAGTAAACTTAACTCAAACTTATCTGACAGATGGACGCTAACTACACATGGAGAAAACGAAAATTTAGCTAACTCTAGGTTAAGTGCCTAACTGCAGATGGTGCAAACGGCCCTAAACAAATACCATAACAAACTCCAGTTTACCATAGAAATGGAAGAAAACGCACGCATCCCCTTCTTAGACGTCTGCATTCACAGAGAGAAAAATAGCTTACTTTTGGACTGGTACTCCGAACCTACATCTTCTGGCCGCCTAATTAACTACTACTCATCACAACCCACCAAATACAAAATAAACACCGCCAAAAACCTAATACATAAAATACTTACTTTAAGCCACCAACGATTTCATGACGCAAACATAGACAAAATAAGAAAAATACTAAAAAGCAACAATTACCCCGACTACCTAATACGCGAACTTATACAACAGAAAGTAATGGAAATAACCAGCCCTCAAAATAGAGCAACATCTACAAAAACAACAGACACGAAAAAACAATACCACAGCATAACATACATCCCCAAACTATCCGAAAACCTCGATCGCGACTTGGCTAGAAAACAAAATATCACTCTCGCCTACAAGTCCAATAACACTTTATCTACGATTTACACAAAAACAAAAAGCCCTATAGACACCAAACAACAGAAAAACGTAGTTTACGAAATAACATGTAAAGGCAAAGAAAACGAAGCCTGTAACAAAATAATATATATAGGAACAACAAAACGCGCTCTCGGCGTTCGACTAGCAGAACACCAGGCAGACATAAAATAACACAAAACCAATACAGCACTATCACAACACATAACCACTAGTGGGCACACAGCTGACTTTGCAAACACAATAATAATAGACAAGGAAAAAAGGGAAAAGACAAGGTATACACTGGAGAGCCTAAGAATAATGCAAAAAAGAGAAAAAACAATAAACAAGAAAGAAGATACCGATGACATTGCTGCTGCATACATGTATGTTCCTTATGTAATTTTTGTCAAACGTTATTGCATATTTGTAATTTTTGTACTTATTGTTGATACAGTGAAAATAAACAACCAGCCCCTGAAGATGCTAATGAGTTTAGCGAAACGTTCGGCAACAATAGTGGAATAACTTTGTTTTATTTGCACTAAAGGATGCAAGATCGGACAAGCCTATTAAAATATTAAAATTTAAAAAACAGGAATTGTCATTTTTGGTTGACGAATCGTCAATACAAAACTCATCTTCCGTTTTAAGAAGCGGCTTACTCGAAC